TCTAATAAATGAAATAATAAAGGTTTATCACCTTTAATGATGTTATTATGGGTAAATATCATAAAGCAATTATTGATTGAAAATAATATATACATTTATACTAAAAAAATTTTACTTAGACAATATCGGGTTTGATGTTTGGGATATATTCAGTAGTGTTGGATTTATCAATACCATTAATACTTCAACCACAATTATTTCTGATGATAAGTTTCCTTTGTTATGCTCAATGTTTGTATTATGATCAATCAAAAATATTTATCGGAAGAAAATTGAAAATCGTTATGTTTTATGTTGTTGGAAGTTTGATTTTAGGTGGAATTCAAGTTGCTGGTATATTTGGAATTAGAGTAAAAATCATTTTGTTGACTTATTAGAGACATTAAAAAACACACATACATGAGGTTTTAATTTCTCATCATCATCTATACAGGAATCCAATAAACATAATGTAAAATGGCCAGAAGTTTTAGTTGGAATCTTATCTGTTGTCTTATTAACCAGTGGGTTTATGATGCAATTTATAGAAATTTATCGTAAGTCATGTGAATATTCAATAAGACAATTTGCTTTTGTTTTTTCGCTAAATTACAATATCATTAAGTTTTCTTCTCAATAAAAAATAGGGATTAAATTAGTAAGAGGTGTTTCACTTATTTTCTTAACTATTGACATGTTGGGATCTGTGTTCTCTATTGTGAGTTTAGGTAATCATTGAAGTAAAATAAAATTATGTGTAAAGAAAAAATGTTCTGCTTGGCTAATAATTTTTTTTTTTTTAGTATTTCGACCACCACCGTTTGATCTATTAGCATCATTCACATACGTATCAGTGCTTGTTTGTGATGTTGTGATAATAATTCTATATTATTTACTTAATTGGATAGATTCTCGACGTTGTCATGAAAATAGTCTTAAAGAAGAACTTGGTGATAATACAGTAACCATGAGTAATGATAGGAGAAATCTCAATCAAAAAGAAAAGAAAAATTCTGAAGTTCAAGAATAACTAGAAAAGTTTTTTTATTATGAAGTAAAGACATCACAATGAGTTTGGTTATTATTTCTTATAGTAGTTAATTTATTATTTAATAAGTTAATTTATCGCCATATTAATGTCGCTAATATCACTCATAAATTAATTGGTTACAAACTTCATAAACAACATATACATTTATACGTTATTCTTATTCAAAGTTTTGTTTACGCGATCGCCTTTACTTTAATAATACAAATAAAAAGAAAGTGATAAATGATCCAAGATCTCATTGGTTGATACAATTTCCAGAACATTAATTCAGTAAAGGAAAGCCACAAAAAACATAGTAACCCGTGATGTAACCGCATTATATCATGTATTTAATTCATACATAAATAAATAAATTTTTTTCTTCTCTAAGAAAATTTTTGTATTCATGTACGTCGGATTTGGATTTTATTGCGATCAAGATCTACCCAATTAATACATTATGATCGATGAATTTTTCCAAAGGGAAACCTTGGAGGAAAAATGAAATATATTAGTACATGGGTTTCTTCATTGCACAAAATGATAAATGTATAGAGAACAGATATTAGACACATTTCGTCTACAATCTCTAAGAGAATTCTTAACTACAATCTTAACGCAGTTAAGAATATGAAGGTTGGTGGTGATTCACAATAGTAGTTATATCGATCATCTGTTTACAAAATATAGTATCCAATTATTCAATCGTGTCTGGATATTTATTGGTTTTTGGTCTGTTTACCAATTTGATATCAGTATAATATCCAAGTATCTGCGATATTATTATTATCCGACAGGTATTAGTATAACACAACTAACTATACAGAAGAAGTAATAATCCATTTTAAGTGTGACTTGGTGGATACATTATAGGATTCTCCAAAAATAAATTAAATAAGCAATGAATTGATAATTAATTATAATGAATAATTGATTTCATCAATAATTATTATATTGTTTGATTAACTTGTGTAAATAAACAAAGATTGCTTTTATAATTTTTATATTATAAAATAGTTCGTATATATAGAAGAAACAAGATTTTCTATAAAATAATTCTAAATCTATTTATACTATGTAAGTAATTAAATAAATTAATAAAGATTATGGTTACAATGTAAAGCTAAACATATTTATTATATATGAATGTTAATTTCATTCTTAAATAAAGATATTATAGAATGAAAAAGAAAAGCAAGGAAAAGGAATCATAATCATAATAATAGTAATTTATTATATTATCAATCATATTATTTTATTAACAAAATAACTTTACCTTTCTTATTATTATTATACAATTTCCTTTTTGCTTTTAATAATAAATGGATAAAAAAATAGAACATCATTTGTATTTAGGGATGAAACATTTCTCCATGATCACTAGAAGTAATAGCCTCATATTTCCTAGCCAATATTTTAGATAACACTAGGTACAAACATACCAAAGTTACTATTATCCAATTTCTCCATTTATCAAATAAACTCCTTTGTACATTATTATTGTTGTTGTTGTTGCTATTTGATTGATTTATATTATTTTCATTTTCTGATCCAAGATTTTGACTTAATAGTTTACTACGTTTTTTGATTTGATTATTGTTTTGGAGTAAATTATTAGATGTCGTTGTTTCTTTTAATAATTGAGTATCAAATTTATTATTATTATTTGCCACATTAGGTGTCGATGATGATGTTGTTGTTGATGATGTTGATGATGTTGATGATGTTGATGATGTTGATGATGATGATGATGATGATAAATTATTACTATTATTAATTGGATATAGAATTTCAACCGGTACTGTTTCTGTTACACAAAGTTCAGAAAATATTTCTATAATTTATCAAAATATATATATATATATTAATTATTATGATAATAGCATTAACAATGTCAATATTGTCATCATCATCATCATCATTGTTACCTCTAAATTTTGGATTCTTCAAATTGAACTGGTGCGACCTTGAAGCATATGTTTTTTTATCAATGTCTGATGTTTTAATACTACCTGTTGTGGTTTCATCACTAGTCTATATAATTAAAAATTTTAAATAGATAAATTTATATTTATTATGACAAATATGGAAAAGTAATGATGACGATGATAATAAAAGAATTATTATGTAACCATAAAGCTTAATAATCCATTTAATATGGTTGCAACACCCCAACTAGGATTCCAAGAACTTGGATGAAAATCTGACATTGACAAACACAGCCTTGTATCAGTTTGAAATCGTCCTAACAGCAACAACAGTAATAATGTTATATTATTGTTAATATAAACAATAAATAGATTATAAGTTATAAGTTTCTTTTAATTATTATTTTTTATTTTGATTTACCAGAAGGCGTTGTCATGCGAATTGAAGGCGGCTTAAAAGGATATTCAACTGGAAATTGTAAAACGCCTTTGTTTATATAATTTATCAAATTAATATATAAATAAATAAATTTACATCAGAGAAAAAAAGATCTATTAATTTAAATTAGTTACCATGATATTCTCCATTATGATAAGGTGTATCTTGTGGACCACGAATAACATAATGCCTATTAAAAATAAAAAAATAGTAAATAATTTATTACAATAATGACAAAAAATTTGAATTAATGATATTTACCATTCCAAAATATTGTTTTCTAAGGGTTTAGCTATTAAATATGGCACTGGATTCTTTTTGAATTTTAAAAGATGAAAGTATAAGAACTTTTATACATACATTATAGGAAATAGATTAATACAAACGACAATACTTGTCAATCGCATGTACATTTTGTATAGATATATATTCCTTTGTTAATCTTTTGAATGCTGCTTTAGTGGCCATTGTCTATTCAAATGATGCAAATTTAAAATCGCGTTCTTATAAATTGTTGAAAGTCACAAGAAAAAAAAAAGAGTAAACTCGGTTTAATAATGAATGGTTAAAAGAGGTATATAAATTTAAATTCTGGAATTAAATTTTCAGTGTTAGGAATGTGGCGTGTAACGTTATACGTTATAATTAGTATCTATATTAATATATATATATATAACGGTCAATGATTATCACATGACTTTAAAAGATTATAAGGAGGACAGTTTTGGTTTTGTGAAGTGTATTGGCCGTTCAAATTTAAAAAAACTGTTTATTATTATTATAGTGCAAGACACCTAGTCCCACAACTTTTTATTGGTCTTGTAGATCCTTCTCTAACTCCAAAAATGGAAATGTAACACCAAAAAAATAAGCCGTAATTTTGAAGCTAAGACCT